TCCTGGGCTCAAGCGATCCTCCTGCCTCAGCCTCCCGGGTAGCTGGGACTACAGGCATGCGCCACCATGTCCACACGATGCCTCTATAGTACCTTCTGATGCTATATTCTCTGTAATCTCACAGCCAAGATTTTAACCAGGCTTACTTCTGAATGTTACAACAGGTAAACAGAATTTTTTCTTCTTCCGAACACTATTTCCTCCTACCTGGCTGAGAATCACTGCAAGATGGGGTGATGCTGCCTCGACTCAGGCACCCCTTTCCATGGGAGTTCACAGGGTCATGTGTGACTCCAACAGTAACAGCAATCTTAAGTGCCAACCAAGTGGTGGTGCTGTGGAGACCTTACAACAACCCCAGTGGTAGGCACTTTACAGTGGGGCCAGGTAGCTAGCTGCAGGTCTCACTGCCAGGAAGTGCTAGTGCTCTCTAGGCATCCCTAGTGCTCGCCCTCCCTCAGCGCCCCAGTCCCAGGAACCTACCTGAGCCGGCTGCAGTGGTGTAGTGAGTGGCCCAGGGGTTTATGCCTTGGGGGCCTCTTCCTGCGCAGCCTCTTCAGGGCCTCGGCCACACGGTGGTCCCCCGCGCACTCCCAGATGATCTGTGCCCGTTCCGCAGCCAGCTGGTCCCCACTGCGCTGAAACAAGCCTTGGATCTGCAGCAGCTCAGCATCCTGGAAGATGTTGGCTGAGGCCTGCTTGCGGCCCCGGGCCTCAGTCGGGGCCTGCCAGGGTGGCGGCTCACTCACCACAGAGGCTGGGGTGCCCATCGTGGGTGCTCTGAGGACAGAAAGGAAGGGGACATCAGCAGCTCAACAGGCCCTTCCCAAACCAGGGGTCCTGACTCTAATGCAAGAGCTTCTGGTGTTCCCATTCTCCAGGAGCCAAGCCGGAGGAAGTCTCTTGCCTTAGAAACACTAAGTGCTTATGCGTCAGATGCCTGTATTATCTCATTTAAGATTCACAGCAACTTGTGAGGCAAAAATTACTGTTTATCCCCATTTTCAGATGAAGAAGTACGACTCAGGTTAAATTACTTGCTGGTGATCACAAAGTCAAGTGTAAGTGCAGAGCCAGGATGGAACCAGGTTCACCTGGCTCTAAAGGCCACACAGACACTAAGGTGCCCAGCAGCAGCTCTAATTTTTTGAGCACTTAACATGTATAAGGCACACACCAGCCCTATCAGGTAGATATTTTTATCCTCCTCCTTTCAGAGATGAAGAATCAGGAACAGAAAGGTCAAGTCATCCACGGTTATGCTGGGACTAGAACCCAGACCTCTACGGTGCCCATGCACTGTAGCACAGAGATAGGACAAGAGTTGGGCTACCCAGGTTGGAGTCCCACCTGCCTCCCCCACTGACTGGCCAGGTGGCCCTCCGTGCCTCAGCTGCTTCCTATGTAAACATAGCAGCTCGTATACCTGCTTTGTAGGGTTAATGTGAAGACTGATGAAGACAAGCATTCAGAACAGTGCTGAGTGTTCTAGACTGCTTTTCAATCTAGAAAACTGAGAACAATCATCCCGCCTCCTATTTTCAAGACCTTGGAGATGAACCGAACGAAATAATTTAGCACACACAGTATGAGAAAGACCAATCAGATCTAACCACAGTCCGAAGGACCTACAGAGAGACACGGGACAGAAGAGGAGGCTAAGATGATTAGAATATACTATTAAGGGCAGAGGCTAAAATTTATAAGAACGTTCAACAGAGGTTAGGCTCTTGTGTCAGTGTCTTCCATCATATGCAGGAAATGAAAATTATCTCCCTTGTATCTAGATGGTTCACTTTGAATAATGAAGGCTTAAGAAGCTCACCCACCTTATCCTTGTCTCTCCAGTACAGCCTGAACAAGCTATGGGACTGAAAAACAGCCTGGAGACAAGGGCCGAGGACTTTGGCATTACACAGAATTGGGTTTGAATCCTAGCTCTGCCACCTTCCTAGCTGTGTGACCTTAGGCAAGTTACTCAACTTCTCTGAGCCTGTTTCCTTAACTGTAAAATGGGGGTAATAATACCCACTTCTCAGAATTATAGAAAGGATTAAATGAGCCTAGTGTATCAGTCACCCACTAAGGGCTCTAGTTGGCCCTCAGTATCTGTAGGTTCCGCATCCAGGGATTCAACCAACTGTGGATCAAAAATACGGGGGGGGGGGGAACCAATAAAAACAACAATACAACAATAAAAAAAATACAAATAAAATATCAATACATCTTCATTTGTGTAGGGGTGAGTAAAGAAAAAAATTTCTAAAAGAATAAAAATATAACAACTATTTACATAGCATTTATATTGTATTAAGTATTAGAAATAATCTTAGAGATCAAATATGTGGGAGGTGTGTGCAGGTTATATGCAAATATTATATGCCATTTTGTATAAGCGACTTGAGCATCCCAGGAGGCTCGGAACCAATCCTCCACAGCTACTGAGGACTGAAAATGCTAATGCCCCTCTTTTTGGCTTTCTTGACCTTTGTACCTGGGTCAGGGGTATGATGTGAACTCTCCTTTTCCTCCAAGCTGGGTGGCCAGAGCCAGCTGAGGCCAGGCCAGTGCTCCCTCCCCTCCTCTCCCAGCGCCAGGCCCAGCGGGGGAGGGAAGAGGCAGGTCCCGTTTGCTCCCAGGGCCCGGCTGCCAGAGGCAGACCTCATTCCACAGCTAGCCGCAGACAGTTGTCAGCCAGCTTCAAAAGGGGGAAAAGGAAAGTTAAAATACATTTAATAAAAACATTTACATGCTCATTGTAAAAAGAGCAAACAGTACAGAACCTTACAAATAAAAGCGTTTCCAATTTCTTATCCTCAACCCACTTGCAGAAGTAACCCTTACCCTAACCTGCCTTTTGTTCTCCAGAGAGTGAGTCATCTCTCCACCCCATTCAGACTCCTGAAGTAGGGTCCCTCCCTTAACCTCTGTAGTCACCCTCATTATTCTGGTAATTTCCACACTCACCCTGGCTGGCCCAGTTTCTGGGCCTTCTATCCTAAGAACCACCCCACTCTCTTTCCAAAAGATTTAATAACCAAAATAAACCCACAGAAGACTTCCAAATAAATTAACTTCAAAAAAATTGGACTTTTATCTGGAAAATGGGAACTTTAAAATCTGCCTCTCCTTAGGCACTATTATGGGAACCCAGTAAGCCCCCAGGGCTGGGTGACATAAACATGCTGTGACCGGAAGACAACCGTCACCAAGTAACACTTTTAGGTTGATAAAGAGAAACAAAAGCTAACTATGGGATGTTTATTCTGTTATCAGGCAATATATGTGATATCATTTAATCCTCAAAACAATTCTAGGAATTAGGGGCTGTTATCCCATTCCACAGAGGAGCAAAGGGAGCTGAGAGGTAGACACGGACGCGAGTACCAGTGGCTCGGCCCAGGCTAGAGCCTGTTCTTCCGACTGCAGCCCAGGCTTTTCGACCCCTCAGCTGGCTCCGCCGCCAAGCAGTTCCAAGCACACATCTTCACAGCATTTCCAGGAGGAGCGCTTCACTATCCCCACCTCATTCACAAAGGGCAAAGCCCACCCCAACAGAAAGGGAAGGAAGATGAATTATCCCACCTGGGGGAGGCAGGCGTGGGCTGTGGAATTTATTTCAGTCTATTCGCTGGCGTCAGGGCTGTTTACTAGGTGACGGCTGCCCTAGCCTTGAAGCCTGGGCAGTCTAAAGAGGAAGATCCCCACCTTCCACAAAAGAAATCTAGAACCACAACCCAGCCCAGCACACAGAGCCCTGGCTTATGAGTCAGAGGACTGGGTTGGAGCCCTAGTTCTGCCACTCACTGGCTGAGGGGCCTCTGGCAATACATGTCACCTCTGTGGGCCAGTTCCCCCCTTACTGCTGTAAGAACAGGCTGATGCTGATGGTCTCTGAGGGCCTGCAGCGGTGCTGGGAGAAGGTCTGCAGGGAAGGAGGGATGGGGCTGCTTGTCTGCCAGGGCCTAGGGGCAGCATGTATGGACAGGTCTGGCTAACTGGGTGCTAGGAAACTCCCCAACCAGCAGCTCCCTTTCTCCTCCCTCAATCTCCTCTGGAGGCCAGACACTGTTTTGCTGCAGTGGGCTGTAGAGTTGAGATCTGGTAGCAGAGAACTCACTGCTCTAAAGCTCCCTAATGACGTAAGCTGGCTACGGCCAAGCCCGAGGCAGCTCCTAGGCCGGTCTACGGTGGTAGGAGAGGAGGTGATTTTGCTTCTCAGACTCAGGCAACCTCACCTCCCCAGGGAAAGAAGGGCAACAAGGATCAGTGGCAGCAGCTGCCTCGAGGAAGAAATGGCTTGGGGCCTGATTCCCAGGCAGTCCCAGTAACCTCTGCCAGGGTTACAAGGCCTTGACCCCACAGCCTCCAGCCAGCCTCGTTACAAATGCACCAACAAGAAACCATCTGGGAGGGTCTGAGCCTCCAGCCTCAACCATACCCTCCGTGAACCTTGAGGGGGACTTGGCTCCTCACTCTTGGCTCTGCCTCCCACCCAGGGATGCAGACAGCAGAGTGAGGCTGGGAATAAAAATAGGTGGGTTCCAGATAGGATTAGATGGTAAGCTTTGGGAAAACTAATAAAGTGGTGAGTCAGAACACTTTTTTTCTTTTTTGAGACAGGGTCTCGCTCTGTTGCCAGAACTAGAGTGCAGTGGCATCATAGCTCACTGCAACCTCAAATTCCTGGGCTCAAGCGATACTCCTGCCTCAGCCTCCAGAGTAGCTGGGACTACAGTTGCTCACCACCATGCCCACCTAATTCAGAACACTTACTATCAGAAGAAACTCTTCCTGTTTCACTCAATGTGTTCAGTAGTTACTGTCCCTCTCATTTCCTGGACAAGACCTTAATTCAGGAAAGTCAGTGTATACTTGAACAATGGTACTTTTTAAAACTGGAAAATGAAACCATGGGGCTATTAAAAGATTATAAATGGATCTTTCATTTCAGAGCTGACCATAAAAGAAGATAAGCATAGGTCTGTGCACAAATGAGTAAAAACTGATTGCAAAGTACTTCAGTTTAACACAAACTAGGTTAAAAATGAGGCCCTAAAGTAAATACCAAATGTTGAAAATGACAAAGTTCAACTTGTTTTCAAACAGTAAGTGAAGAACTGTAGAGCTCTAACAAAGCAATATATTTAAAAAGTGACTCACCCTTCTAAATCTATAAATATGGTACACAATTGAGCACTCTTTGTAATATATGAAGCTCAGTTCAGACAGCTGTTATAGGTGAGTATCTCACTATGGTCTCAGGGAGGTGCAGGTAACCATGAGGCAGAATACACTTGGTTGAGCTGACAACTCCTGGGTCCTCACACAGCATGCACCCTTTGGAGAACCCAGGTGATGGCAATAATCTCTAATCAGAGGCCAGGGCCTCTTAGAAAAATAACTAGCAGCTCTGGCCCAAGGCCTAAATCAACAATTGGGGTCCTGGCCTGCTACCCTGCACAGACATGCCACTGGACAACAGCCAAAATCTGGGACTTCTAAGTGGGAAGCCCAGTCCAAATGGCTGTGTGGGCTCCCCCACCCCATAAGGCCTAGCCACAGCCATGTGTGCCTAGAGAACTGGACACATGTTGGCCTCCAAATCTGTGCCCCAGGAGGTAGAGAAAGGAACTCAGTCCTTTCCCCAGACCAATTCTGAGATATGACTTGGATATAAACTACTACTAGGTCTAGGAGTAAGTGTTCAAGAGTTCAAGAACCCTGAATTCTGGCTGTGCCACTAATAACTGGGTGACCTTGGACCAATCTGTTTTTCCCTGCCTCAGTTTGCTCATCATCAAAATGGTGAGAATAAATAACCGTTAACTGAAAAAGGAAGATAAAGTATGTGAGAGCATTCATCATAGTACTTGGCATACAACAGACATTCCATATATGTCGGTTGAATGAATGAATGATGTAAGAGAAAGATTGTTTAACTACCAGGGACTATAGAATCATTGTCATTTTCATCATCACAGCCAGTGAACTCCACCAAAAGGGACCTTCACTCTTGGGGGGAGAAGGCAAAGGTAGATGGATTCATCTGTGTACTTTTAAATCATAGCTTTTATGATTAAAATCATAGAGGCAGCTTGTTAGTATCAAGAGCAGAACAGGCCACTTTTCAGTGGTTGCTCTCTCTTTTTTTTTTTATTGCTCTTTCTCTCGTTTTTATTTTATTATTATTTTTATTTCAGGATATTATGGGGGTACAGATGTTTAGGTTATGTATGTTGCCCCTGCCTCCCCCCCACCCCACAGTGGTTGCTCTCTTTATTTCTCCCATGAGGTGGCACTATCACTACCTATGAGGAGGTGCTATCGTTATACCCTTTTCACAGATGAGAAAGCTGAGCTCAGAAAGGTTAAGTAATTTGCCCAAAGTCACACAGCTGGTAGGTGCTGGAGGCTACGATATGAACCCAAGTAGTCTGACCCCAGCGCTCACGCTCTCAACCACTGTTATTTTTGTTCCTGCCAGATGGCTGACGAGGTCTTCTGGGGGAAGTAAGGGCCCAGAAGACTCCGAAACCTTTTGGAGTCTGCTATCTGCTTCTGAGGTTTTTGGAAAGCCCAGGGATCCAAAGTTAGGACTCCCAAGCCAGCCTCTGTGCCCTCTACACTCCACCGCTCCGTGCGGAATTAGAGCGGGTGCTCACCCCGCTGAAGGGCAGCCTCGGCAGACCTCAAATCGGGATAGGGGCAAGCTAAAATGGCCCACCCCAACCCCTTCCACGGCCTTTCGAAAGGGTGGGGGCAGCTCTGGGCTTCCTGCCGCGAAGGCGCTCGCAAGGGCCAGGCAACGTTCACCGGCAGCACAAGAGCTTGGGAGAAGGTATCCTGGCCCAGGTCAAACGGCGACATCCCCAGCACGGGTCTGTCCCCCGGGCTCAGACGTGGCCGCTTCGCAGGACTGCCCCCAAGGGGACCTGGGAGTTCGCGTCCCGATGGTACCCTGGCTCCGACGGTCCGCCCGCGGGCTCCCACCGCAGCGCCGTGCCGGGCCGCCGACCTACGTACCTGCTTGCCCGAGCTGGCCCGGGCCACCTCGGTCGCAGCCACCGTTCCCTGGAGAACGCGCTCCCTAGCTCCGGAACAGCCAATCCTCGGCCCCAGCCTTGGTGTGGGCTCCGGGGCGAGCCTTCCAAAATCAAACGCGGAGACTCCGTGGGCCAATCAGCGGCGGCAGAGGGGGAGGGGGCGTGTCCTCCCCGCCCCCTTCCCTCCGCCGGCCTCGAAAACAGAGTGCGAAGATTCCCCGAGTCCAATCAGTGGCGTAGCAGCGGCGAGGGGGCGTGTCCTCCCCGGCCCCTTTCCCCCGCCACCCTCCCACCGTCGCCCTCGCGCCGCGCCCGAGGCGCCCCCTTCGTTGACGTCAGTCCCCGGGGCCAGCGTGGTTTCGCCCGCGCGGGAGCGGGCGGGGCTGCATTCCTGCCCCAGGGTGCGGCGGCGGCTGGCCCTGCAGGGTACACGTGACGGATGCCCCTTCCCCCGGGCCCGAAGTCAGCGCGACGCGCGTGGCCCTCTGCAGATCCTGAAACTCACCTCCCAGCCCACCTGCGTTCCGGCTCCAGCTTTAGCGTTAGAGGGGGCAGTTAGTGCTGCAGTGAGGCCTTGGGCGTCAAAGCCAGAATGTCGTGCGTTCGAATCGGATCAGCTGTGCTACTTTGGGCCAGTTACCTGGGCCAGTATTAAAAAGTTTGTATTCATTCGACGACGTTCGTTAGTGACCTGCGACGTCCGGGTTCCTTGATAGGTAGTAGTAAACAGGAGTGACAGAGAGACCTACAGCCCTTACCCTCGGGGACTTTAGAGTCTAATAAGGGAAGCAGACATTAAAGAACCTAAAAACATTTAGTATGTGATTACAATCGTGATCAATGTTATGGCAATAAGAGAGTAAACATGGAGGCACCTAAGCTTCCTCTGGGAGGTCCTGGTAGGCTGAAGAAGTAACATTTAGGCTGAGATCGGAAGGAGGAGTCGAAGTTAGTCAAAAGAAAAGGAGTGGATCTGGGAGGAGTGTTTCAGGGAAGAGGGAAGGGCATGTGCTAGGACCAGAAGGTAGCTTGAGTCGGAGGAATTAAATGAGACCTGGAGTGAGGCTAGCGAGGGAGAGCTGGTGGCAAGCAGAAGACAGACAGGCAGTGAGGAATTTTGTGTGTGATCCCAAGAGGGGTCTACACAGGGAATAACATTGTATGTACTGTATTTATTTATAGTCCTTCTGTAGCACTTACTGTGTGCCAGTAGTGCCAGTCAGCACTTTACAAATACTGGCTAATTTCATCCTCGTGATAAACTTATGTTTTTAGAGGATCACACTGGCTGCAGCTTGTAACTTGGATTGGAGGGGGCAGGAGTGGATGCAGGGTTTTTAATAGGCCCTTGGTAAATGCTTGTTTTCTTCTTTGGAAGATGTGGGGTGGTTGTGTACTTGTTCACCAATGGTCAGGAAAGGCACCTGGGTCTCCCTGACTTTTTCACTTCAAAGCTGATCTCCTATTCATTTAAGTTTGCTTTCTCTTCTGTAAAAGTTCCAAGGGGAAGAGTAAGAGCCACGCAGGGATTTGTGGGTTCCCTTTTGCAAGGTGAAAGGGATGTTTGGGAGCTGTTCTTCCTCATCCCACAATCTCTGGTTCCTGTCTCCGTCCTTCTGCACAAAAACAGCATCAGCGAGTGTTGTGCTGTAGCTGAGAGGGTTTTAACAGTGATTTCTTTTCATTTTTTCCTGAAGCCCCGAGGAAGTGTTGAAAAGAACAAAGAAATCAGCAATGTTTATCTCCAGTGGAAAGTACTGTTGCAAAGTCTTTTAGCCAATGCTAGGCTAAGGAGGGGACTGTGCCCACTCCTAAACCAGAGGTTGGGCTTCTAAGCCAGGGACTTCCTCTGGCCGGTTCTAAGCAATAGGAAAGCCAAATTCTTGGCATATCAGTGCTTGGAGAACCTAGGACTTCTGATGCCGTGAGCTCAGAAGAGCATACCAAGGTAGGAATCGGGAACTTGCGGCTTCTGGGTCAGATGTGACTAAGGCTGGGTGGAGAATATCTGGTGTCTCCAAACATTTTTGCAGGCATGTGATCGTGTGCTTACCACACAGTGGAACCATTTCTATTGTTACAGCTCTATGATTCAGTACTTTTGGCAAGAAGATGGGGCACTTCCACAGTGCCCATCTGGAACCCACAAACTGGCGCTGGATGCAATAACCACTCCCCAGTAGAGCCCAGTTTAGAGAAGGTCAACTCATAGGAATGGATACCTGGTGTAATTCAGGCCAAGATTTCGTTTTACCCAGGGCCCAGATTAAGGTGAGGTGAGTGAGGAATTCTCTTCAGGTATAAAATTTAAGAGGGCACCAAAAAACTAAGTAATCAAGACAAATGCAGTATTTTAAAAGATCAAAATCAATGCAAAAAATCCTTGGTGAACAGAGTATCAAAATTTAAAATGAAGACAGGCTATTGTTTATGATCCTGCATTATTTTACAATAGAAACGGTCATTTCTAATCACCCTGTTGCACTACATGGCATTCCCTGACAAGTGGCTTCGTGAGGGTTGACAATAGCATGTTAACAGATTGGACAACAAGATTTGTATATAGTCATATTTTTTGATTGTGGTGCTTTTGCCCATTTTTTTCCATTTGGTTCAAAATATGGAAGGATATTTGGGTGAGTGCATATAGGGGCACATATTTTTCCTTTTGTCTTAGGCTCCAGTGTGGTTCAACTCGGTGCTAGTTTTTATCCTCAAGGGAAGTAGAGGCTAGGAAAGGGGTTCCAGCTGTTTAATCTTAAACAAATGACCACCTTTCTGCCTCTCTATTTTCTCATCTTTAAAATAGGAATAATCATACCCACCTCTCAATGTTGCTGTGAGGATGAAGTGAGTTGCTGTAGGCTGAGTGCATATATATATATATACCTTGTTACAGACGCTAAACCAGATTGGAATCCTTCCCTCTTTTTGTCCTGCAGAGGTGGTTCAAGCATCTGGACAGTTGTGGTCCCTTGATGGGGCTTAGACTTGTTCCTGTGGATTTCGTGTTGCTGTTTGTCCACTTCTGGGAGAGCAGAGAGAACTTTCACACTCAACTGACAGGCAGCTGTGCAACTTTTGAGTTAACGCTGTTTTTCTTGATAAATGATCATGGGCATTCTAAATTTCTTTTTTTTTTTTTTTTTTTTTTAAAGAAACAGGGTCTTGCTGTGTCACCTAGGCTGGAGTGCAGTGGTGTGATCATAGCTCACTGCAGTCTTGAACTCCTGGGCTCAAGGAATTCTCCAGGCTCAGCGTCGCAAGTAGCTGGGATTACAGGCATGCACCACCATGCCTGGCTTCTAAACTTTTTTTTAAAAGCACACTCTGCTTAGGACATTACACAAGGCAGCTTAAACTTTTAAAAGCACACTCTGCTTAGGACATTACACAAGGCAGCTTAAACTACAGCCCTCTTCTGTCCACTTACAGTCTGGACAGGCTGAAAATAGCAAATCCTGCAGAGAAATGGTATATTATAGAAGCACTAAAAAAATACACCATTCTAGGCCAGGTTCAGTGGCTCATGCCTGTAATCCTAGCACTCTGGGAGGCCAAGGCAGGAGGATTGCTTGAACTCAGGTGTTTGAGACCAGCCTGAGCAAGAGGAAGACCCCATCTCTACTAAAAATAGAAAAATTAGCCGTAATGTTGTAATGTGTCGTAATGTGCCTCCTGATGTGATGCACTGGGAAAGACATGACATGACTTCTGTGATATTCCTGCCAGAACTATGTAACCTGAATCTAATCAGAAGGAAACATCAGATAAATCCAAACTGAAGGATATTCTACAAAAACTGGCCTTTTTTCCTCAAAAATGTCACAGTTAGGCCAGGTGTGGTGGCTCAGGCCTATAATGCTAACACTTTGGGAGACCAAGGCAGGATGATTGCTTGAGCCTAGAAGTTTGAGACTAGCCTAGGCAACATAGCAAGACCTCATCACTACAAAAAAACCCAGAAAAATTAGCCAGGCCTGGTGGCATGTGCCTGTGGTCCCAGCTACTCGGGAGGCTGACGCAGGAGTATCGCTTGAGCCCAGGAATTTGAGGTTGCTGTGAGTTATAATGATACCACTCACTCTAGCTGGGGCAACAGATCGAGACCCTGTCTTAAAA